TGGCCTAAGGGGTATTTTAATTTGGTTTTTAAAATAATTTTAAAAAGAAACGGCCAATAATGAATATTTCATTTTAATCATATTTTAAAATTAGTATTATTGTATTAGTTATCTGTTTTAACTGGCTGTAAGCCGCCCTGAGTCCGTTAGGAGAAGGGCGGGGTATAAATTTGATAAATAATAAAATAATAATAATAATCTTCAATTTAACTTCACAACAAAAAAAACTCTCAGAAAATAAAAAAGAGAGCGATCAAGTAAAGCAGACAACTGAACATAAACCAGAGGAAAGAGATTTAAAGATGGAATTCAACAATGGAAGGAACTATGATTTAACCCAGGCGGAGAAAAACTTGCAGGAAATATTGGACATGGAAAAGACAACTTATACTTCAAGATTGCAAAATAAGTCTAAGGACAAGAAAAAAGATTCAACAAAATGGATTACAGAGCTGTCAGGAGAACTACGAGAACTTGAGAGACAAAAAATGATAAGAGAAACTAAGAGCGAAAGAAAGAAAAAGATTTTCAAGGAACACGACAGGGCAAAACATTCCCACAAAAACACCTTGACTCGTCTCTTCTACTTACAACAATATCTACAAAACTATGGGAAGAACTTTTGGTCCAGTGGAGCATATTGATTAGGAATGATGTTTGGCAAAAAAAAAAAAGGCTAAAGTTAGAATTAAGAAATTAGATGATGGGACTTACCAGATGGAATATTTAAAGATTAAGCACTTGTTTGAATATGGTTAAAGAAATAAAATTTTGGATATAAATGAATTTTAGTTTAAGAGGGATAGGCTCCTTAAGTAACATAGTACTTTTTTTTATGATATGAGAAATATAAAAATGTTGGGATGATTTATATGAGGGAAATGTTTTAGATACTCAAATGTAATGGATTTTGAGAAAATTTCAATTAATAAGGATGTTTTAAATAGTTCTAAAAGATTAGCTGTGGATTTATTAGACAGAATACTTAAAGATTAAATATTTGTTTGAATATGGTTAAAAAGAATAGAATTTTTTTGGGACATAAATGTATTTTAGCTTAAGAGGGACATGTTTTTTAAGTAGTATATTATTTCCTTCTTTTTTCTCTTTTTTTGTTTTTGTTTTAAGATATGAGAAATGTAAAAGTGTTGGGATGGCTTGTACAAGCAAAAAGACTTAAATGCTTAAGTGTAATTAACTCTAAGAAAATCTTAACAGGTAAAAATGTTTTCAAACATTGTGGGGAAAATAAATTTAAATAAGAACTTTAAAAATAGGATCTATGATAAGGTGATTAAGATGATTAATTAGAAAAGAAGCTTCACATTGATGTGGTTGTTACTTGTAGAAATACTAGAAAAATGTTCATATTCAATTGTTATCTATTAAAATGTGCAGGATCTGAGGTGTTGCTTGATAAAGAAACACAGGAAACCAGAAGTTGCCTTTAAGCTTTACATTTTTATTCAGCTGAACAAAGACGGGCTCCTCTAAAAGGGAGAAGCCCCAAATGACAGAAAATCCCTATTTTTATACTTTTTGATTACATAAGCAATCCACCCAGCAAAGCTGACACACATAACATAAAGACTTCACCCAGAAAGGCTGCCACACTGTAGATAAGAAGGGAGAAAGCAGAAGTAGCTAAAAATGTTCCCTTTTGGGTGTTTCCCTAAAGACACCGTATGTTCCCGGGTGGGCTGGGACATGGGGTGTTTTCCTTGCTGTCCTTTCATGACCTTGCATCCATGACTCTGCAAGTGCCCAAAGTCAGCAGGGCCATCTGCACATATTCACAATTCATACTTCCTATGCTATCCCCTAATTCCGGGTCAACAAAAATACTAAGAAATGTACTAATTTAAGGTTGATAAATGAGAATATTATTGGAAGAAGAGAAAATCAAGGAAAGCTACTATGTGGATTACGGAATTATAGAAACTAATTGTTATTGTTTGTAAATATAAACCCAGATAACACGCTGTTTACCAAATATCAAGGTGATTATGTTAAAAAATTAATAAAATATATTTTTAAAAAATAAATTTGATAAAATAAATTAATAAAGTGGATCTGAACTCATTCCTCCTAAGAGGAAACCAGTAACTTATAATGATATCGCACACTTCACTTTCTAAGCAAAAAGAATTATAAAAATAGAAAGCATAAAGAAATTTAATTCCTGTTGCAACAAATAAATGCAATAAATTCCTTCTATTTCACCAAAGTAAAAAAAAAAAAAAGTTCAAGATACCTGGAATTGACAAACTTGCTACAGAAGTAAAATTTGTACCAGGTGCTTTCTTACTTGCAGCTCAGTCCCTTACCCGGAATGCCACAGGAGATCAAACCACCACATTGTGCTGAGTGCATTCCTCCATCATGATGTATAAAGCAGAGAATTTGCTTTAGGACTCAACATTTTGTAATCACAGGCTATCCCTTGCCATATTTCAGCAGCTGCGGGGAGCAGAGGTACCATATAGAAACATGAATATGGTTGTCTCTACTACCTCTACTACCACATCCTTCCCCATGGCAAACAGATTAAAATAATGATGAAAATTATGAGCCATTTATCAGTTCAGCTTTTTTTAGTGGTGCATAATTTAGGCTACTATGACAAAAAAATAAGTATCATTTTAAGCACAGAATAAGCATAATTTGATACTGAGTAAAATCATAGAATAGAATAATAGAATAGAATAATAACTTTATTGTCACTTTGAATGTACACTAATCGGCATACATTAAAATGAAATTTTGTTGCATTCAGCTCTCAAAGGGTCACCACCTCCGATATACACTACATATAGGCATCCCAAAGCTGGATTTTCTTTTCTTCTTCTGGTATGTCTGGTTTTCAAGCATCTCATCCCTGGTCTCAGCTCTTTCCCTGCTAGACCTATAAAGTTCAGAGCATTCTCATGTCCTCACCTCCTATTGGCAATGCGGCTGCTGTTCCGACCCATACCAAGGCACTTCTCCAAGTGAGGGGCAAAGCGGGAGGCAGCAATGCTTCGGCTACAGTTTGGGCACACACATTCCTTAGTCTTCCACTGGTTATAGACCTGGCCAAAAATATCCAGCCCTGGTTGATCCACAATTTCTATAACCAAAGAAGAAAGAAGGATCTCTCAGTTGAAGAGAGACCCTGGAAAAGAGCTGCATACATAAGGATCTCAAGAGCATCATCAAAGAGCAGTAGTTTAGATTGACAGAAGGTTAAAAACAGTCCAGCTTGCCCTTCTTTTAAGATGAGCATCGTAAAGAGAATAGTGACCTACAATGTAGTCATCACTGTTGCCACCAGAGCAACTCTACATCCTCTCAATCACAGAGAAGGCAGGAACCTCCAGACTCTGGAATGGCTCTGGCCAGCAGACATTGCTCTTTAAACTGTTTCCCCATCTCTGTTCAAACTACTAGACTTTGACTAATGTGTATCAGATTCAACTCTCACAAAGCTCGCTGGATAATCATAGGCCAATCTCTCTCTCTCTCTCTCTCTCTCTCTCTCTCTCTCTCTCTCTCTCTCTCTCCTAGCTTAACTTTATTGGGCAATAAAAATTAAAACAGTGGTGGCTGGATGAATGGGGGACATAGGATATTCTGATTTCCTTTAAAAAGAGACAATAAAAATACAGTACAAAAGGATGAAATTTTGAGCTAAGCTAGTACTGTTTATTTCATTGAAACAGTTTTTCCTCCTGTTTTAAATGTCTCCTAAAAAAATATTTTTTTTATTTTGAGTTAAGCTGGGCTCCCAGTGACCTCATGGATATGCCAGTGTAGTTTTCTTTGCAACAATACAAAGTGATTCCCCATTGCCTTCTTCTAGAATATTCATTCTCTTTCCCACACTAACTTACAAGCAAGCATGTCTGATTTTAAACAAAACAAATAGCAGCCCAACTGGCAGCTGTGTACGCTTAGCTAAGAATGAGTTTATAGTTGGGTTTGCACAAATGTCCTAGACAAATGTCAGCCATAACAAAGCAAATATGTTGTGTAACCCAATTTTAGACAAGCATGTTTAGTGTGTTGTGTGAATCCAATGTATGTGTAATCCTGAAATAGTATGTCATATTACACCATGTAGCAAGGTTTTACACCATGCAAGAATCCTGGTAAGTAAATATAAGAAGGGGCACTGGCTGAAAACACACTTACCAAACTCCTTCATACTATCAGGGTCTGTATCATCCAGAAAGAAGTAACCACATTTGACAGCCCGGTGTACCTCAAAGCACAAGCCCAGGCAAGTATCCTCAATCAGGTCAGTATAAATATCATGAGCCAAAGCCTGCAAGGCAACAAGCCCAAAACTGTCTTAACAGCAAGAACGGACATTGGCGAGACCTATATATTATTATATACCGTGTTTCCCCGAAAATAAGACTGGGTCTTATATTTATTTTTGGTCCAAAAGACCCATTAGGGTTTATTTTCGGGGGATGTCTTATTTTTCCATATACGGGAGGTGGCGAGCACGCAGGGGCCAAAGGTGTCCAGCAGCAGACGCAACCCACCATCCCCTTGGCCGGCACACTCTGGGGCTGCAAAGCCCACGCAGCGCAGGTGAGTGGAAGCGCTGCTACCGCCGGGCTGGCCCCTGTCGGACACACCACGTGGCCACCCGCCCACTCCATCCCACCATCTGGTTGCTCACGGATGCAATGGGGCAGGCCGCACAGCGCGCCAATGCTGCCGCCATGAGGTGAGGCAAGGCAGGTGGAGGGGTGCGTGTGGAGCTGCCCCACGCGCCCCGCACGTGTGCACCTCAGGAAACCCGCAGCGAGGCCACTGCCCGCTCTGCGAACTCCCCCCACCTGTTCAATGACCCGGCTGCCTACCCGCTGTCAGACGTCCTTCATCCGTGTGAACAAATCCAGGAATGCAGGAACGAGTTGACAAGCAGGCTTATTCTGTGCAGTAATAAAGTCAGCGCTGGGAGTGATCTGCTCCCAGTGCTTTACATAGCCTCCCCCACCCTGCAGTTCCGGCCCCAATCAGCAAGCCAGCATCTGGCCTTCGGAGGTAAAAAGCCGCATTACAACACCCGGCCTCCCCCCTGCCATTCTGTGTTCCAACGACTCCGGGCTGCTCCGACCTGGACTGGCGTCACCTGACTCCCTGCCGCCGACGGACGCATCCTGCACCCTGGGCCGTCAATCTGGACTCCTGGGCTGTCCCGTCTCTCCCGCACGCCGGTAAGCTGATCCGGGCGCCGCCGCAGAAGCCGCAGGCTGTGGCGCCATCGCGGGATGACCTGCCCATCGGCGACATCGCCGTGCCGTGTCCTGCGCTGCCAGGAAACCCCCGCTGCCGCCGGAGCCGGCTACGACAGAGCACCAACCAGCCGACCCAACCAGTTGCCGACGGGCCATCCTGGTGCACACTGGAGTCTCTCACGCCACCCGGTAGGCTGCCGTGCAGGCCGGGACAGCTGTTCCTCCTGTGTGGCATTTCCGGCGGCTGGCTGCTTGCTTCGGCGCCCGGCTGCTTAGGTCTCCCCCCCCCCGTGAATTTCGAGCCCACGGGGCTTGACAGGCAGCTCCCTCTACCAGGGCTCCACCTGGAAGGCAAGGAGAATCATATGAGTGTACGTTCACCCTGGCGGACGGTTCAGTTGGCCCGCCTCCCGGCTTCCCAGGGTATCGGCGGTGAAATGTTTGCACTAGTCGTGGTGTGTGGACGTCCTCATCCCTCACCCACAATGCCTCCGAGAGGGGGTACCCCTTCCACCGGACCAAATATTGTACCCGCCCATGACGGGTCCGAGAGTCTAGGACCTCCTGTATTTCAAAGTACTCCCCAGAGACCGGACCCGGTGCCTCACCCACGGGCCTACTTGGGGAACCCCCTGCCGGCTTTAGCAGGCTGTGAAATACTGGGTGTACCTTCCCCAGGAACCGGGGTAGTGCAACTGCACGGTTACCGGATTGATGACCTGGACAACCTGGAAGGGCCCTAAGTACTTTGGCCCCAGCTTTTTACAGGGCACTCCCAGGCGTAGGTATTTGGTCAACAGGTATACCCGGTCGCCCACATGGAATGGCTTGTGTGGCCCCCTCTTCTTTTTGGCATGTGCTTTTGTGTCTGCCTCGGCCTTCGCTAGGGCATTCTTTACTGTACCCCATAACCCCCCCACATGTGCTATCCATTCCTGGGGTAGACAGGGCGAGGGGGTCCCCTGGGGACACTCCACACTGTGCACCACCCGGAAGGGAGCGAACCCGGTGCTGCTGTGCACTGCATTGTTATAAGCTACTTCCGCAAACGGCAGCAGGTCAACCCAGTCCGTTTGCTGATAGGACACGTAGCTCCGCAGGTAGCACTCCACCATGGCGTTTGCACATTAAGCCGCTCCGTTGGTGCTGGGGTGGTATGCCGAGCTGAGGCCCTGGGACGACCCAATAAACCGGAGGTATTCACGCCAAAAACGGGCCGTGAACTGCACCCCCCCGGTCCAAAATAACCCGCCTAGGCACTCCATGTAGACGATATACATGCTCGATGAAAAGCCTGGCCAACCGCCAGGCAGATGGCAACCCCTTGCACAGGACGAAGTGGGCCTGCTCAGAAAAAAGGTCGATAACGGTCCAGATGACGGTGTGGCCACGGCTCTCTGGCAACTCAACAACGAAGTCCATGGCGATGTCCTCCCATGGCCGGGTTGGGTCTGCCACCTTTTGCAGCAACCCCAAGGGCTTCCCCATGCGGGACTTCGTGGTGGCACAAACGTGGCAACCCTTGACGTCGGCCTCTACGTCCGCCTTTATCCGGGGCCACCAGAATTGGCACCTTATCAAATGTAGGGTCTTCAGGAATCCGAAATGACCCGCCTGCTTTGTATCATGGCATCGTCGGAACACTGCCTGCTTCAGGACCCATGGGACGTACAACCTGTCACCTTTCCAGGCCAGCCCCTCCCGCCTTGTCAATAGGTCTGGATGGTCCCTTAACCATGGGTCATGTTGGACTGCCCACTCGCCACGGTACGAGAAACCACCCGGGCTGCGGCTTGGTATGGGGGCATGATTGCTTGTACCACCGCCTCCCGCTACTGGGGCATGTGCGACAAAATGTCGGCCAGGAAGTTCTTCCCCCTCGGCACGTACTTCAATGTGAAGCGGCGGAAATACTGTGCCCACCGGACATGTTTCGGAGACAGGCGCCTTGGTGTTTGCAGTACCTCAAGGTTCTTGTGGTCTGTCCATACCTCAAACGGCTCCTTCTCCCCCTCTAACAGATGCCACCATGTCGACAGTGCCCACCACACCGCAAACGCCTCCTTCTCCCAGATGGCCCATGCTCGCTCGGTAGCCGTGAGCTTTCACGATGTATAGGCACAGGGTTGTAGCATCCCCTGGCCATTTCTTTGGAGTAGAACTGCCCCCACTGCAACATCACTGGCGTCAGCTTGCACTACAAATGGGTTCTCGGGGTCTGGGTGGAGCAAAACCGGCTCCCTCGCGACTTGCTTTTAGGTCCTTGAAAGACTTCTGGCAGGGCATGGTCCACACCAGCGGTTGCCCGGGGCACGGCTTGGTTGCTGTATTTTGCGTGTGGAGCAGGTCTGTCAGGGGTAAGGCCACTGCGGCAAACGAGGGGATGAATTGCCGATAAAAATTGGGAAACCCCAGGAAGCTCTGTAGTTGCCGATGGGTCCAAGGCACCTGCTACTCCAGCACTGCTTTGACCTTGTTGGGGTCCATTTCTACTCCGGCCCCCGATATCCGGTAACCCAGATAGTCCAATCGGGTCTGGTGGAACTCGCACTTGGAGAGCCTCACGAACAGGTGGGCGTTTAACAGTTTCTCCAACACCTGCCGTACCAAGTGAACGTGTTCCTCACTGGTGGTAGTATAAATCAGGATATCATCTAGGTACACCAGAACCCCATGGTATAGGTGTTCATGCAACACCTTGTTGATGAGTTGCATAAACACAGCGGGGGCCCCCTGCAGACCAAATGGCATGACCCGGAATTGGTAACTATTGAGCGGGCAGTTGAATGCCATCTTCCATTCATCCCCCTGCTTAATGCGGACCCTGTAGTACGCCTCCCGCAGGTCCAGTTTTGTGAACACACGTCCCTTGGCCAAATGGGCCAGTAGATCCTTCATCAGGGGAAGGGGGTACATGTGTTATACGCAAACCCCGTTGAGCCCCCGGAAGTCCATGCAGAGGCGGAGCGAGCCGTCTTTCTTTTCCTTCAACAGGACCAGAGCGGCTATCCGTGAGCGGGCTGGTTGGATGAAACCCCGGGCCAGATTCTGGTCGATGTAGCGATGCAGCTCCTCCATCTCCCTGGGTGTCATTGCGTACATCCGGGGTTTGGGTAGTTTTGCACCCGGTACGATGTCAATGGCACAGAAGGTCACTCGGTGAGGTGGTAGGACATTGCACTCCCTCTCGCTGAACACCTCGGCGAGGTCAGCGTACACAGCCGGGAAGGGGTTCTCTCGCCCGGTGCCGTTCTGTGATGCCTTTCCTTCCCTACACTCCGCACCCCACTCTTCGGGATCGTGACGAGGTGGCCGGGGACCAACCCCAAGGCGTAACGTCCGGTACCCCCCTTCCCACCATATAGTAGGACCCCACTTATCCAACCATGCCAGGCCCAAGATCACGGCCTCAGTCATGGAATAGACTACTATAAAACGGAGGACCTCCCAATGAGTACCCATCTCCAGTCTGACGGGGTCCGTTATGAGAGTGGCTGGAGCCCCCAAGAGAGACCCATCCACCTGCTCAAACTGGATTGGGTTAGCCAGCCGCCGCACCCTGATCCCGACCTCCGCCGCCACGCCTTCACTCATCAGACACCGGGTGCAGCCGGAGTCAATGAGGGCCTGGTATTCCCTCCGTTGACCTGTCTGAGGGCTTGTCAGAGTAACAGGTATAGCAAAAGGGCTTATGGGCTCACTCACCATGGGATCCTCGGTTACATCGTCCTCGCTGTCATAGGCCACCAGATGGTACCTCGTGGAGGCTGTTACCTCCTCCTCCACCACCGGGGACACCCGCCGGGAGACGACCCCCTCCGGCTGCTGCGCTGCTCTCGACTTCTCCGGGATCTTTTTGGTGGTGGGAGCAGCTTTTCCGGGAGTCGAGGAAGGAGCCTGTGGAATAGGAGCCAGACACTCCGCTGCCTGATGCCCCGGCTGGTTGCACCGGAAACAACGGAACGGCACCCTGGCAGTAGGGCCAGAGGAGCCCAGACCTGCAGCCTGGACTCTCTGTCCTTCATCCCGTGGCCTCTCCGGTGCCCTCTTTGGTGCGGCCGGGTCCTCCCCTCTTTTCCGGAACTCTTGCAACCCCGTGTCCAGGTCCACCACCACCCTGAACCACTCCTGGAGACAGCTTGGAACACCCCGGAAAACACAGGCCTGGCGCAAATCCCAATCCAGGCCTGCCCGAAAATGATGGACTAGGAGGCGTTCTGGCCAGGAGCGCAGTCTACCAGCCACCCGCCGGAAGTCACGAACAGACTCTGTTGCAGGCCGACCTCGTTGCCGCAGCGCCAGTACCTTGGCCTCAACCCGCTGGACCTGGGAGACATCTTCAAACCGGGACCGCAGCACTTCCAGGAACAGACCAGCGTCGGCCAGCTCCCTGGCATGGTCTCTGTAGAGGTCCGCTGCCCATGCCGCTGCTTCACCTTGCAGCCCTGCCATAACCGCCACCACCATCGCCCACTGAGACGGGTAGAGACGGGCGTACGGGTCCAGGTGGCTGATAACGTGTCTCAGGAACATTGCGTGGCAGTCCAGGTTTCCATCAAACGTCACGGGTATAGGCGGTGGACCCCAAACCACCCCGGGACCCCATGGTCCCATAGGCTGGCCCGTCCCCCGTGCGGCGTCAGCCAACTGGGGCAACCCCTGGTTGCCGGATCCCACCCCCTGCTGGTCTGAGCCCCGCCCAGAGGGTGCTCCCCACGGGTCAGTCGACGACCTGCCTGCCCACACAGGCCGTGACTGTGCTCGTGGTGCACTCAGACCAGGGCCTCCCACTGTAGGGGTACCCAGACCAGGGGCTACTCTGAGTCGTGGACTGGCCAGACAGAACCAGACTGGATCTGTTTGTCTCGGTGGTGCCTCTGTCCAGTGCCATGATGCCGTCTCTCGTGCCGCCTCCCGTCTCGGCCACGAGGGGGGCTCCAGGTACCCAGCCTCCCTGAACCAGTCTCTCAGAACGTCCATAGTATACTGCCCATGTGCTGTGGAGTAACTCCATTCTTCCTCGTCCTCCTCCGTTACACGCCTCTCCCTCCATTCCATCAGGGGGGGCCCGGCACCGGGAGTATATGCCCTACCAGCGTCCGGGTTGGTCAGTGCAGAGCTGTGCCACCATTACCCCGACGCCCCGGGGACCCCAGCCTCCTGGACCTCACTCACTGGGACCGCGGGCCTTGCTTCCTGCACCTTTGGCCTAACCACAGGCTGAGCCTCCCGGGCCTCTGTGTCAGGCAATGGTCCCGTTTCTCCAGCTGGGTCACCCTTGTCCACCACCAGTGTGGCCTCCTGTTTACCCTCAGCCATTCCCGTGACAGTACAAGGGCAATGGGAGGGGAACAGAAAAGGGGAGAGCGCTGACTTACTGTCAAACGTCCTTCTTCGTCCGTGTGAACAAATCCAGGAACGCAGGAATGAGTTGACAAGCAGGTTTATTCTATGCAGTAATAAAGTCAGTGCTGGGAGTGATCTGCTCCCAGCGCTTTACATAGCCTCCCCCACCCTGCAGTTCCGCCCCCAATCAGCAAGCCAGCGAAAGGCCTCCACCACCTCTGCACATCAGCTGCATCTGCCACTGAAGGGGCTTTCTTCGGTCCCCACCGCCCCCGCCCCAACCTGATCACCTGCCGGGCAGCCGCTGCTGCCACATCCTCCTCCACCTGCCGCTTTGGTCCTAAGGCCCCTGCCTTGTGCTGTCTGCTCCCCATTCGCCACCTGTATTGTATGGTTTCAATGGCGGCAGCTCTGGAGGCCGGTGGTAGAAAGTGGTGGCAAGCGGGGCGGAGGGAATCTTTCTCCACATACACATATAACTCTTCTGTGGCTCTGTGGGCAGAGCTGCGAAGGGGGCCAGGTGGCTGAAACCGCCAGCCCAGGGACAATGCAGAGTGGGTGCTGCCGCCGTGAGGCAAGACAGGTGGCAGGAGGGCTAGTGAAAGCCCCTCCAGTGGCGGACGTGGCTGATGAGCAGCAGCGGCGGAGGCCTTTTGCCGTCACTCCCTCCGGCTCCGAAATGGCGGAGGGGGACCGAGTAAGGGTGCCAAGCCTCCCCCGCCCATCCTCCATAGCATAGCAGTCTGGCTTGGGAGGGGAGTGAAAGGGAAGAGGTGGGCGGGCAGCCGGGTCATTGAACGGGTGGAGGGAGGTTGCCGAGCAGGGAGAGGTCGCCGAGCAGGAGTGGACTGGCTACGGGGGCCCTGAGGTGCATGGGTGAGGGGCATGTGGAGCAGCTCCACCCCCCCTGGGCTCTTAACGGGCTTATTTTGGGGGGTAGGGCTTATATTAGGCACACACTAAAAATCATGCTAGGGCTTATTTTCTAGTTGGGTTTTATTTTCGGGGAAACATGGTATTATATTTCCCAATATAAAGATTATATATGTTTACTTTCAGGTAATGATGACAATTTTTAAAGTCTCTTTCACTTTATATCTACATACAAATATCAGAAAGATGATTCACCGCACACATACGTATCTAAACTAAGCTCTGACTGACAATAGGCTTTTCACTCTCTGTCCAAAAGAACATGCAAGATTTTTTTTTCTATTAATCTATCGATTTCACCATAGACTTCTTGGCACTGTTCCATCAAAAGCTTCACAACTTACCTCTAACTTGCTGTTATCCAGGCCCGAAAAAGTCATTTCCTCCATTTTCATTTGCAACAGCTAGAAGAAAAGACTCTGAGAACGCAACATAGTAGAGGCCAGGCTGAAATGGGAAGGGATGCCTCTATATGAAGACAGGGGGAAATATTCAATTATCACTTTGACAAAATCTTACTTTCAAGATGGAAACAAAAGCAATGAGTAAGACACTATCTAAGGCAAAAAATTGTTGACAGTTTAATTGATAAAGCCTATAAATTATCAATAATTTTGAAAAAGATGCCTTTGGGGGCAGATTCAGAGCCATTTTCAAACAAGCCTTCTTGAAGGAAGCAAAAGTTTATACAACGTACTTTGTAAATAGACCAACAGTTTTTGCAAGTATTTCTGATTGATTCTCATTTTTTAATATAGGCTCAACCACTTTACTGAGAATTTGGTTGAACTCACATTTATCTGCCTCCCCAACTGAGAAACGTATTGCTATAGTGTGGTAATGTATCAATGAGAAGGAAGTAAGGCCTCTTGCACAGGGCTCAGCCTCATACAGTGAGGGAAAAAATTATTTGATCCCCTACTGATTTTGTACATTTGCCCACTGACAAAGAAATGATCAGTCTATAATTTTAATGGTATGTTTATTTTAACAGTGAGATACAGAATAACAACAAAAAATCCAGAAAAACGCATTTCAAAAAAGTTATAAAATGATTTGCATTTTAATGAGTGAAATAAGTATTTGACCCCTTCGCAAAACATGACTTAGTACTTGGTGGCAAAACCCTTGTTGGCAATCACAGAGGTCAGACGTTTCTTGTAGTTGGCCACCAGGTTTGCACACACCTCAGGAGGGATTTTGTCCCATTCCTCTTTGCAGATCCTCTCCAAGTCATTAAGGTTTCGAGGCTGATGTTTGACAACTCGAACCTGCAGCTCCCTCCACAGATTTTCTATGGGATTAAGGTCTGGAGACTGGCTAGGCCACTCTAGGACCTTAATGTGCTTCTTCTTGAGCCACTCCTTTGTTGCCTTGGCCATGTGTTTTGGGTCATTGCCATGCTGGAATACCCATACACGACCCATTTTCAATGCCCTGGCTGAGGGAAAGAGGTTCTCACCCAAGATTTGACGGTACATGGCTCCGTCAATCATCCCTTTGATGCGGTGAAGTTGTCCTGTCCCCTTAGCAGAAAAACACCCCCAAAGCATGATGTTTCCACCTCCATGTTTGACGGTGGGGATGGTATTCTGAAGGTCATAGGCAGCATTCCTCCTCCTCCAAACACAGCGAGTTGAGTTGATGCCAAAGAGCTCGATTTTGGTCTCATCTGACCACAACACTTTCACCCAGTTCTCCTCCGAATCATTTAGATGTTCATTGGCAAACTTCAGACGGGCCTGTACATGTACTTTCTTGAGCAGGGGGACCTTGCGGGCACTGCAGGATTTCAGTCCTTCATGGCATAGTGCAGAGGTCTCCAACCTTTCCGGGCTCACGGCCCTCAGGGAAGGAGAGCGGCTTACAAATTGGTGCGTGCACATGCACACACGCAAACAGCACCACACGCGCTGGCATGGTGCTACTGGCCCCGTTCACGCATGCGCAGACTGCATACACCTGCCCGCACTAGTGGCCCCATTCATGCATGCGCAAACGGGCCGTGCAACCTGCCCAGCACTAGCGGCCCCTTTCATGCATGCACAAACAGGCCACGCACACCTGCAGCCATATTCACGCCTGTGTGCATGTGCAAACGGGGCCACGGGCGCGAGCACATTTCCGCGGCCCACTGGCCAAGAGGCCTCGGCCCGGTAGTGGGCCGCGGCCCATAGGTTGGGGACCCCTGGCATAGTGTGTTACCAATTGTTTTCTTGGTGACTATGGCCCCAGCTGCCTTGAGATCATTGACAAGATCCTGCTGTGTAGTTCTAGGCTGATTCCTCACCGTTCTCATGATCATTGAAACTCCACGAGCTGAGATCTTGCATGGAGCCCCAGACTGAGGGAGATTGAGTTATTTTGTGTTTCTTCCATTTGCAAATAATCGCACCAACTGTTGTCACCTTCTCACCAAGCTGTTTGGCAATGGTCTTGTAGCCCATTCCAGCCTTGTGTAGGTCTACAATCTTGTCCCTGACATCCTTGGACAGCTCTGTGGTCTTGGCCATGGTGGACAGTTTGGAATCTGATTGATTGCTTCTGTGGACAGGTGTCTTTTATACAGGTAACAAACTGAGATTAGGAGTACTCCCTTTAAGAGAGTGCTCCTAATCTCAGCTTGTTACCTGTATAAAAGACACCTGGGAGCCAGAAATCTTGCTGATAGGGGATCAAATGCTTATTTCATTCATTATAGACTGATCATTTCTTTGTCCGTGGGCAAACGTACAAAATCAGCAGGGGATCAAATAATTTTTTCCCTCACTGTAGTTCATGTAGTCCACTAAAGTACTGTAGATGGTAACTTAATGTTGCTGAGTACATGGAACAAGGTGCATCCTGACTGTGACTACCTAAGTCCTGGGAAACTAATCAAATAGCCAGATTGACTTTCCATCCTCTCTCACTTGTTGACTGCAGTGCAATATAGCTATTTACTCACTTCCTCTGGCACTGCTTTGTGTAGAAAGATGAGACATAAATCTCATTAGATTTATAATTATATCATGCTTCTTTTTCTCTTCCACTTTGTAAAATGTCATTGCATTTTGTGGAACCAGACTGATATGTACCAACCCATGGCCCATTCCACTTGACATGGCATCAGAGAGATATAAAGTATTAGAAGTATCACATCCATATTCAGCTATGCAATCTTCAGTCAAATCACAATGCAGGGCTTGTCATTAGCTTGGTACATGCTCCTCTCTCTTCTTGGCAGTGAGCTATATTAACTATGGTCTGCCCGCCTATCCCTATCATAATGCCATCTAAATTATGTTTTCCAATTTTTATGGCTGTGATGTTTCTCAGGAAGCGCTCACATTTAGTGTTAAGTATTTAAAGCTGTGCACACATACTACCTTGTTAAAGCCTTCCAGATGTTCTGCACTACAACTATCAATTGGCTGGGAACTGTAATAGAGCACATCTGGAAGGCATGAGATTAGGGAATATTGTTATACATTTCAGGTGGAGAAGGGGAGCCAGGACTGAGAAAGAGTATATAAATAGCTTCCAAATGTGATACTAAACCAAGGAATTATCTATATGTAGCTCATTCTGAACCATTATATAGCTTTTACCATCCAAGCTCCATTTTTCAGTTCTCCACATCCATACTTACATTATACCCTCATTTATGTATCTAAGAAAGTGGGTGTTCAATTCAATTGTTTGCCAGAATATGATTACAGGTAGTCCTCAACTTACAACAGTTCATTTAGTGACTGACGTTTCAATGTTGCTGAAAAAAAGTGACTTATGACAGTTTTTTACACTTATGACCATTGCAGCATCCCCATGGTCACGCGATCAAAATTTGGATGTTTGGCAACTGGTTCATATTTATGATGGTTACAGTGTCCTGGGGTCATGTGATCACCTTTTGCAATCTTCTGACAAGCAAAGTCAATGGGGAAGCCAAATTCACTTAACCGTGTTACTAACTTAACTGCAGTGATTCACTTAACAACTGTGGCAAGATAAGTCATAAAATGGGGCAAAGCTCACTTGACAAATGTCTCACTTAGCAACAGAATTTTTAGGCTCAACTGTGGTCATAAGTCGAGGACTATCTGTACACGTTTTTGCTGCAGTTAATCCTTCTGGAATTAATGGACATCTGGAAATTTCCCTAGGACCTCACTATATTTTCAAAAGTCTTATTAGAGAAACCTTTCAAGGTACCAAATGTTCAGGATGTTGAGAATGCGAACAACACCCAAATTAATATTTTGTAAAAGGAGTTGAAACTGGTTAAGGGTAGAACTGTACAAGTATCTTTTGTAAAATATAGTTGGCCTAAATGAGAGCAAAGCAGACCCACCATTTAGAAAGGGCAGTTTCCATAATGTTCAACACTCCATCTCCAGCTTAAATAGTTGTTAACTTCACAATTGAAAGGAGAACAGAAAAAAAATATACCAAAGGGATAAAAATATCTGCAACACTTCAAAAGGGAGAGGGCACAAGGTAAATGGACAAAACAAAATGATCCCATCCAAAGATACAGGGACTTTCATCTCTAGAAACATTGAGATTACATTCATCAATTGCATGGACAGACTGTACAGATGCAAGGAATGTGTTCCAAATAGCCTCAAGAAGTAACTGTGAGATTGAGCTGAGGCCACCTGTCCAAATGCAGGGAATAACAAGAAGGAAGAAAAGTAGAAATTTGAAAATCTGTTTGAGTCATGGCCTTTCCAAATCAATAACTTCACCCACCATTTTCTATTTGATTCCTCTTGAGCTCCCCACCACCCTTCCACAGAAACCATGGCCCACAAAGAAGCAGCTTTTTTTTAAAGTACCAGATTAAGTAAAACTAGATTGTAACCTGGTTATTTTCAGGATTCAAAAGTTTCTGACTCCCACTCTCTTTTTCTGAGATTGTTCTCTGTCAGAGAAACTGTACTTGTGTCACTGTAAATAGGCATAAGCATAAGGCACAGTACAAGCTTTGTTTAGAAGGAGTCCCAGAGAGAAAAGGAAGAAATCCAAATTTTAATGGTTTTGAGAGGGAGGGATGAGGAGAGAGAGGCAGAAGGATCCATATTAATGAGTTCTTATCCACTTTTGAAAACAGAATGACCATGAAAAAAATTAGGTTGAGATTGTAGTTCAGTTAACTAACAAGTGTCAATGCTGCTAACATCGGATGTTCTTGCTTGACAATATATGAAGATGCAGACATTTTCTATTTAACCTGTGTATTACTTTTAGAGTTAAAATTAGATGCTGCTGGAGGGGAGGGGGAAGAATGTGCTTGGGGACTAGTTAGCCATAACAATATCTCAGTAGAGTATTCTTCAAGGTTGGTTGTAATAAGAGGAGATAAGTAATGGTGGGTTATGGAACGGAAGGGAAAGTTCGCACTTCAAACTAA